GATCTGAGATCTCAATGGGATTTGCCTGGTAAAATAACGGTAAATAAAAATAAAAATAAAAAAAATAAAATCAACAAAAGCCCTAAAGCACTAATCAGGAAATTAGTTCCCCTATTAGTGCTTTAGGGGAACTGTGCCCACCACTAATAATACCATACTTTTAGGGTTAAATTTCTAGTATTATACATGAATAAATACGGTAGGTCCCCTAATTGTAAAGCAATTATGCACTGCTAATTTTAAAGCACTAAAATAACCCAGTCAACCCATAGAACATGGTGACCATGATCACATAGTTACTGGAAAGCAAAGAACAAACACTATGAGTTAACATCAGCTCCCATAATACCAGTGGAGGGAAGCACTAATCTAAAAAGTAGTTCTACTAGCCCTAAAGCACCAAGTGAAATATTTACCGTATTTATTCATGTATAATACGATCTAAAGTATAATGCCATCATCATTTTTGAGCATAAAAATATTAAAAATCTAATCATCAGTAACATGTGTATAGTAATACCCCCCACTTTATGGATGACCTTTAGGGTTAAATTTCTAGTACTATACATGAATAAATACGGTAGGTCCCCTAATTGTAAAGCAATTATGCACTGAAAAATTAGCAAAAGCTAATTTTAAAGCACTCAAATAACCCAGTCAACCCATAGAACAGTCTTCAGACAACATGAGTCCCATATTGCTATGCATATAGATATTTTTTGATTTATTTCCACCTGTAGTCCCTGATCCAGCCGACACAATATTATAAAGATAGATAAAGTAAAAGATAAAACATGAGCAGCTGGATGCATGTTGCTCTCTTAATACTCATCATTGACATTCCTCAGCCATATTTGAGTTCATATATCATCAATACGTCTCCTAGTGGATAAGTGACATCATTCATATGAACAAAATGTGTGACAGTTTTCACCCTCAGCTGTTACCAATAACGTTGATCAATAACATTTAAAGACCTCAGTCAGTGCTTCTAAATTTAGCAAGTGTTAAGCCACTAAAATGTTTAAAATTTGGCGGCACGACGGCTCAGTGGTTAGCACCGACGCCTCACAGCAAGAAGGTCCTGGGTTCGATCCCCGGTTCGGACCTGGGGTCTTTCTGTGCGGAGTTTGCATGTTCTCCTCGTGCTTGCGTGGGTTTTCTCCGGGTACTCCGGTTTCCCCCACCTCCCAAAAACATGTACAATAGGTCGCCTTCAGGCCCAGGCCTCCCTTGAAAAAGAGATCTGGGATCTCAATGGGACTTGCCTGGTAAAATAACGGTAAATAAATAAATAAATAAATAAATAA